TTTAAAACCGTTCCTGATGTAACTGATGGCAGTGGGTAGCTAGGAAAGAAAGAAGACCAAAAAATCATAAAAGATTAAAACCTTCATTTCAAATGGAGATCATTAAATCAAGCTGTGACCCAAATATATTTGCAGTGTGCCAAACAATGACCTCTGTCTACTGTAGAGTGGAAAAATGAACCAAGAAATAAAGGATGTCACTTGATTATATCTAGGGATGTTATACTGATTGATTGATAGATTTTGTTTCTCCCCTCTCCCTGTAAAATAGATGTGTTTGAGGTTTGGAAGCCATGCATTAGGTATATGTGTACTTGTGTATTTATATTTGTACCTGTGTATTTATATATGCGGTTGTGAATTTATACGTGTACATGCTTAATTTTAGTCCATGTGTATGTAATATTGCACAATCGACTCTTCTGTGTTTGAAGTTGACCAATGGTTACATATACATGGATGTACTCTCACACATAATTTAACAAAAGGCAAATACATAACGATTAACTGCAAACTGTTTCATTTTGTGAAGAAGAAAACAAACATCTTGTGATTGTCTTCTTTTTTTTTAAGGGTCATCTATTAGATTTTATATAAGACCTGACTGTGAGGTCTTGTTTTCAATCAGGTCTTTGCCAAAAATTTTGTGTTGCCAGTTACAATGTGGGTGGTGGTTTGGCCTGGTATTTTTACAGTTGCACTGCTGAGTCTTGCTTTGCTTACTGCTGGCTGGTGTACTGTTTACTGTTCCTGCTGTTATCATAGATGGGGGGACTTATAATGATTGAAAACTTAAATGAAAAAATTTACTACAGCCTATGGGTGGCCGACAGAATAGGTTCAGTAAGAAAGATAGAATCAAAGCTTATGGTAAGTGGTTGGTGCACAGCCAGGATGGTATCAATTAATTATGTTAATTCACAAAAATTTAATCTTCAACTTAATCTGCTGTTCCTATCAAGTTATCCAGACTAAATCCATGGACCTTTTCATAGCCATAGAACAATACACTATTAAAGCTGAATGAGAGAGCGTAAAATAAACAGTGTTTATCTTTAAGAGTATAATGTCCTAATTCTAAAAGCTTGAGTCATGTAGTTCCCTTGCTCTTTTCATTCCTTAATTTTCCTCTTCCAAAATGTTCTTTCACTTAGAAATTGAAACCAGCCCTCATATACTTAACTTTTGTCTCTTCCTCTGATGCTAATTAGGAGATACTGGCAATAGCACCAATGTATACATTTTAGTGCAGCTCAGCCAGTTGTGAGCTTCCTTTTCCCAAGTTTTAAGGGTAGCTTGTTCATATTCAGTTCCTCCTGTACCCAAAATGTGTAAACAAAACAATTATAGGTAGTCATGTAGCTAATTTTAGAACTCTCTTAGTGTGTACTTTACCTCAGTAATAGAGGTCGAGATATGAAAAATACCATACCTCAACCAGGGGAGCTATATGCAGTGCTTGTAATTCAGCAAGACTTAGTAGCTTTGCTGGTACCAAGAGGGGATTGACTTAATCATTTGAGTCTGCATTTGGGTTTTTGTTTTGTTCCAGTTCAAAGAATTTGCAACAACAGCAATAATAGGCCAACAGAATTGAAATTCACATAACTTCTTAGTAAAACTTAAAATGTTACTTGTTAATCAGTAACTTCTACTAAAATTATGTATGGCCTGGGAACAGCAGCTTCCTATCCCCATTGTAGTGAATTATAAAATCTTGGGGGGGTGGGGTGGGTTTTTTTCCCAGTTTTATGCATTCTCATTTTATTTCCTTAGAAATAAACACACCCTATTCATTATGTCAAGTTAGCTGATGGGATTGTTTGAAAAAATGAGATGAAAATGAACACAAACATGGTTTTAGTAAAACACAATGACTTCCAAAATATATTACATTGTACTCCCCAGAAGGTCCATTTGTGGGCCTAACAATAGTATGAAGAAGAGGCGAGTGTTTAATTGCGTATTTCTGCATATTCTCTAGTGAGGTATTACCTGTATTTCAGTGGCACCGTGTAAGTAAAAATTGTTAGAGTTGTAAAATGTGTTCAGTGATGCTCATAAACTTCCTATTCACATAGTAATAAAACTTAAACTCCTGCTGTAGCTAAGTATCTCTTGATAAATAATGTCTTTCTGAAGCGGTACACACCCTTAATTGGCTGTTCTTGTAACCTCCTAACACCAAATAACCACTTTGTGTCCCTTCCTGTGATCCTTTTTGCTGTGGATAACATGCTGTAGCTTCCAAGTCTGACTTTTATTGGAGAGTTTTGTAGTTTGTTTTGCGCAGCCAAAAGAGGAAGGACCTGCAGTATGAAAGGGAAGTGCAAAGACAGTAAATATAAATGCTTAGAAAAATAGGAGCTTCATTAGTTCTCACAGCACTTCTAAAATTAATAATTCCTGGTTTTACCACGGGGCATTTAGGAAACACTTTGGGTAGTTATTGCTACAAACCAGACTGCTCTTCTCAGAAAGCTTTTTAAAGGATTAATAACCTAGGTTACGGGTGAAGAAATAAATATGTATATAAATCCAAGCCTTATAAATACAAAGAGTTTCATAAGGTAAACCATAAAGCCATTTTTGGGTTCTATTTAACATTTAGTTTCCTAAGAAATAGGACTGGGCTACAAGGTGTCAAATCAAATATATATTTTCTCCAAGTGTGGAGGTTCAGACCCTCCAAAAAGAAGCTTTACCAAAATAATCAGTCCTGTGCATCACGTGTAACAACAGCTGGAGATAAAATTTATTAAAACATCTTAAAAAAATTACAGTTGTTGCTTGTGGTATTATCCATTTCTTCTCTGGTAAAGATTTGTCCTTACTACAAGGAGTACTACTTACTTACTACAAGTACTACTACTAAATACAAGTTGTATTTAATATTATACTCATTCAGCTGGCATTTGTGTATGTTTCTTGGCACTTTCACAAAAGATAAGCAAGCTGCTTTTACCCAGTGGTATTACTGTGTGGAGTGAAAAAGGCATATTCAAGACTGCTCCTGATTATTTTGTTTGGTTTTGGTATACCTTTTTGATGAAAACAGATTAACAACTAAACATTGAAGTGTTGTTTGTTGTACACCATCAGTTGCCCTTTAATTGCAGAATAAAGTTTAATTTCCAGTGGAGAATGATGTGATAGATTTTTAAGAGAATAATAGATTTTTACTATTCTAAGCAGCTTATACACAGGTTTTGAGTGTATTTGCCGAACAATTTTGCCACTTTGTTATATATGATCTATTTTCTTTCTTGGATCATACTGTTTGTCTTTTGGTTTTTTTTATGGTGCAATTTTTTTTTCCAGTGGAACGAGTATATTCTCCTATTTCTGTTGTATTTAAAGTTACTTACACTTATTTTATCATCTGTATTCTTTTTTCTACCTGCACCATGGCATCAAGAAGCAGAGGTCTACTTAAAAAAAATCAGCCTCAACTGAGGTAACTTCAGCATAGGGGTTTTGAATATTAAAATGTTACAGCACTTCTAATGTAACTATTATGCTGTTCCTGCTTATACTGTGTTTAGAGAGAGCATAATATGCTATACATATTTTAATTAAGAGTGAATTCTGGAACTCATTTGATGCTTGTATTTCATGTAAAAAAAATATGCCAATAACTGACGTTGTTAACATGCGCTTGTGCTGTTTTGCATCTCCCCTCTTTGTTCCTTGGTTCAGTCTGTAATGATTGAGGATTTGTTTTGTTTTCTTCTCATGTTAGTGAGCCCATTCTGTTCTTTCTGTAAATCACCTACTGCTCATGTATTACGATGCTGCATATTTCCACAGTCTCTTGGGCTAACTTCATAGTGTAAGTGACCATTCTATAAAATGCCATTCTTGCTTTGAGGGAAATGAAAACTAAATTTCTGGTGTTGCCCTGAGTTGCAGAGGAAGTTTTTAAAATATGACCCTGTCCACTTGAAACATTGAAGTTCACCTCTTGCCAAAATCGCATTATAAATTTTCATTACGTTTAAACTACTTTCATGGTATGCTGTTGGCAATGCCAAAAGGTATTTGTTACAATGTAAAGTTATATTATTACTAGGTGCTGACAGGATTTAATTAGCCATTTCTAGAATTCCTAGTGGTGGGATTCCAGAAAAAAATAATCAAGGCTCTGTGAGCCTTGTGGGGCATCTTACATCATTCATTTACCCTTTATAGTGTTTAACCAGAGAAAAAAAAGGAATGTTTAAGCATTTTATCAGATGTCAAGCTAGCTTAGAGGAGCTACAGCCAGTTAGAAAATTTATTTACCTTTCAGAGTTTGTGACAGATTCAAAGGCCACATAGTTGCAATACTCAGCAAAAATCCTTCAATGGATTAGATACAACAATTTTTGAAAAAAGAAGGTCCTGGTTAGGAGATCTTGGTCTCCTTTAAAAGCAAAACTTACATTTATTTTTGTAATACCACTTACGCTTAACAGCAGAGAGCAAAGAAAAATTACTTCTTTCTGCAGGGTAGTATCTTGGCTGTATCTCACTGAGATAGGCCTTAAACAGAAGATAGCTTGTAAGAATTTTATGCCTGCTTGATGACTATTTATGCTAGGTCACCCTTCTGTTTGTCCTGAAACAAACCAAACCAACAAACCAACCAGAAGTTGCAGTACTAAAAGAAGTATCTAGAATTTTAGAAGCATTACCACTGTTATAAACTGGTATTGAATTTCACTGAGTTTAAAAATAGGAGGTTTAGACCTCCTTCTGATCTTTGTCAAGGTCCCCTTTTAAAAAGAAAAATCACACCTGAATGACAGTAAGCAGAACTAAGTTGGTTAAAACAAGTAGCAGTCATTGAACATGAAAAATTAAATGCATTCAAGGATTAAAACTGCTTATTTTCTCCTAGGTTCTTTTCTGATGCTTAGTCTCATTGATGGGAAGTTTATTATAAAGAAAGAGGAGAGTGTGTACTGCATGCCAGTGGCAACCCTTTCTCACAATAGTGTAAAAATCTAATTGATTAGGAGAGTGCTCAGATGATCAAAGAAGTGGAAGTGGATAAAGTGAGAGTGCTGGAAACAAAACAAGTTGAAGCAATCAAGAAACTCTGGGAAGACCCAGGAATTCAAGAGTGCTATGACAGACGAAGGGAGTACCAGCTCTCAGACTCTGCTAAGTAGTAAGTACACTGTGTAATTACAAGGACAAGCCAGGCTTAATGAAACTAATCATAGAATCATTTAGGTTGGAAAAGACCCTTAAGATCCTTGAGTCCCACCATGAACCTAGCACTACCAAGTCCACTATGTCCAACCATGTCCCTAAATACCACAACTACATGTCTTTTAAATACCTCCAGGGTTGGCGACTCAGTCACTTCCCGGGCAGCCTGTTCCAATGCTTGACAACCATTTCAGGGAAGAAATTTTTCCTAATATCCAATCTAAACCTCCCTTGGCACAACTTGATGCCACTTCCTCTCATCCTATCACTAGTTACTTGTGAGAAGACATCAACACCCACCTCACTACAAGCCCCTTTCAGGCAGTTGTAGAGAGCAATAAGGTCTCCCCTCAGCCTCCTCTTCTACAGACTGAACAACCCCAGTTCCCTCAGCCGCTCCTTGTAAAACTCGTGCTCTAGTACCTTCACCAGCTTTGTTGCTCTTCTCTGGGCACGCTCCAGCACCTCATTGTCTTTCTTTTAGCAAGGGGCCCAAAACTGAACACAGCATTTGAGGTGCGGCCTCACCAGTGCCGAGTACAGGGGCACAATCACTTCCCTACTCCTGCTGGCCACACTCTTCCTGATACAGGCCAGGACGCTGTTGGCCGCCTTGGCCACTGCTGGTTCATAATGAAGAGATAGGTTCACTTTGATTTTGTTTAGTCACACGTGTGTCTCTGTTGGCCAGCAAATTTCAAGCTGGAGTGATGAAACAAACTAATTTTAAGCTTTCTGAACATACCATCCCAGTTCTGAGGTCAGCACAGCTGGTACATAACTGAGTTTCCCTTGGGGAAATGATGAACACCAGCTGTACAAAATATATTTACAACAAGTGGTCAGTTCAGACAGTCCAGCTACGTGAAAAGTTTAGGATATAAATAAGAATGAAGGTGAGTCTCTCCCCCAATTTTCAAAGAATTCAATTGTGAAAAAATGATTGTTTTAGGAGAACTGTTTCTGCCAACGTTGAAAAGTAACAGGGTTAAATTTCAGCAAGGGACATTTAGATTAGTCATGTATGGTAAACTTTAACTCAGAATAGGTACACAAAGGGAATCTGCTCATGTGTGTTAAGTGTTATCATTCTTGAGAGATGCTTGCGTAGCTTGTTCTTAAATCCTCCACTGGAGAAGGATGACACTTAATGGTCTACTTTAGCCTCATTTTCTAAGAAATCAGCCACAACTGAAAGTGAGAGGTTTTAAAAATTTTATTAGATCTTCCTTTTAGTGTTAATTAGAATTGAGATCTCAATAACCATTTGCTGGAGAGGAGGAGTTTTCATAAGAGAAATCTTTCTGCATAAGTGATAACATTAAGTGTTGAGTATTTTTTGTTTTGGAGCCCAAATGTGAGGGATGTTTGGGCAGCAAGGGGAGAATACACGGACACCCTCCCTCTTCCACCAAAGGAAAAGGGGGGATTAGTGCTTAAATAGAGGAGGATTTGCGCTGCAACCGTGTTGTGTGATTTGGAATACACCTTACAGTTTTTGTAGGCTTTGTTAGGATTTTGGATGATCTAATGTTGCCTTCTAGTGGTAGGAAGATAGATTGCAGAGAGGAATACCGGGCATCCGTTGTCATTTACTGATGCACAGGAATGTCATCCTAGAATTTAATCCTAGCTATGAAAAGCATTAAGAGCCTTCTGAGATTAAGGAGGGTAAATTTAAGAATGACTGCATGGGCAGACGAGAAACTAAATCATCATTTTTTATATTAAAAATAAGTTCGAAGTATTCATGTTTGCAAAGCTTTCCATTAATTACTTTTCTGAATTCTGTCCAGCAGCCTTTCACATTTGTGTGCAATATTAGCATCACAGATGAAGTGATAGGGAATAGAGTACTGTTGGTAAACATTATGGCTAGAACTGGTATTTATATTTGTGTTCAAATCTTAATTCTGATGTTTATTTTGAGGTAACAGCAAAGATTATTCAAATAATCATTTTGGCTGTGGGCTGATTATTTATAGAACATTCACGCATCACGTCTTTTGACTAATAGTATTCTGTCTGAAATGCACATGCTAGTTTCAGTTAAAGTACAGGGTTTTATTGTTTTTTGCCAGCAACAATTGCACTAAGGCCATGCACAACTGAATTTCTGTTTAGCTGCTTTTGTGGGAGCACTTCTGTGATTGCTGATTAGTACCTTGGGTTTGAATCTGTGTGATTAATTTATGGTAGTGCATTAACCTTGTTTCTGTTGTGTATTTAACTTTTCAGTTATCTTACTGACCTTGATCGTATTGCTATGCCCTCATTTGTGCCAACTCAGCAAGATATTCTTAGAGTCCGAGTGCCAACTACAGGAATTATCGAGTACCCTTTTGATTTAGAAAATATTATATTTAGGTAAGACTGTCTGTCAAATGTCTCAGTATACAATTATGAAAGGAGTTGCTGCACCTTGACTTCTCAGGTCCTTTAAGCATTTGCATTCAATGAGTGTTGCATGTATTTCCAGCCCTTTCTTCAAAGTTAATAGAGTAACGTGAGTGTTGTTTCAAAACATTTCTTTTCAAATTTACATTACATGAAAAAAGCTTTTCAATTCAAGCAGCCCAATTACTATGTATTCTGAGCTATTTGTTTAATTAAAAGCCTTGGATGGGGGTTGCGCAGAGGCAGGATATTGGTAGTAGCCCTCAAGTGAGTTTAGAACTTCCAGTTAGATAAAGTTAGGGAAAGGAGTTAGAGACAGCAGTAGAAGGGGGGGGCGGAGTAGAGGGTCATGACAGTTGATACTTCTGTTCTTCCTGCCATATAATATTAAAAAAATTATGTTCACTAGAATTAAGAGAAACAAACATACTCATAAAGTTGAAAGAAAGTCTGAGAAGCACCTTAAAATTATTTTATCCACTACAAGACAAGCTATTGCAACAGGTGGGGTTACTGATTTTCTAAGGGAAAGCATTTTTTAATTTCAAAATTGCAGAATTCACACTACCATGATTATAGTTGTTCTTCCGCCAAACCACCCGATTCATCATGAACAAACACCTGCCTGCAGTTACAACACAGAACCAGAATCCACTCTGATAGCACATGGTCAAACCAGACCAACCGTCATTTTGTTGTTTGTTTTTTCCTGGAAAACGCAATTTTCTAGGGAACACTGTGACCTGGATAAAATGTGAGGGACTGACTTAATTGTCTGCAAAACCATAGAAATTTGATGTGGAACTAAGATATTTGTGAGCATTTTGATTGTTTTGAGTTTGTGACATATGACTACACTGGGGTTTTTGGAGGGGGGGGGAGGGTGGGGCTGAGGGAGATTTTTGAGTGTGTGGGGAAACAGAATTGAGTAAGTTCAGATCTGCCTTTGATAAAACTACCAACTCTGAAAAAAAACAGTATTATATTCTGTATTGTGCCTCAAGTGGCTTGTAGACTTGTGCTGGGCCCAGCTAGGATAAAGTTAATTTTCTTCATGGCAGCTGATACGGTGCTGTGTTTTAGATTTGTAACCAAAAGAGTACTGATAACATACCAGTGTTTCAGCTGTTGCTGAACAGTTTTTGTACAGCACCAAGGCCTTACATGTTTCTCTGCCCCCCAGTGAATTAGTTGGGGAGTGCACAAGAGGTTGGGAAGGGACATAGCCAGGCAGATGACCCGAACTAACCAAAGACACATTTCAAGCCATATAACATCATGTTTAGTGATAAAAATAAAAAGAAGGGGCTTTAGGGAGGTTGGCCATCTTTTTCTCAGGAACTGGTTGGGCATCAGCCTACCCACAGGAGCTGGTGAATGCTTGCTTTTGAATCACTTTTTTTGTTTTCTTTATCTCTTCTTTCACTTATCCCTCACTTTTTAAACTTTTTTTTTCTTTTAATCTTGACCCCCAAGTTTTCTTGCTGTCACTCCTTCTTTCCTCTCCCCCTGACCACCCATGGCAGGGAGGGGTTAGTGAGCCAACGGCTGGCTTGTGCTTAGCTGCCCACCAGGATTAACCCACAACACCACTGAAGAACAGTGGAAGTTGTAGCACTACAGCGAGTCAAGCTGAAATATTAAACAGAACATACGCGGTCAATATATACTTTTCACAGTTCAAGTTTATCTCAGGTGGGCGATCTATTATAAGGCCTTTGGTTATACTTAAAAGTATTTTATGAAAATGACTAATATGTGGACTGTATTTCTTTTTAACAGGATGGTGGATGTAGGTGGCCAAAGGTCAGAAAGAAGGAAGTGGATCCATTGTTTTGAAAGTGTTACTTCCATCATTTTCTTAGTTGCATTAAGTGAATATGACCAAGTTTTGGCAGAATGTGACAGTGAGGTAAGGAGCGGAGTTATATAAGGTACAGAAAAAGATACATGCTTTTTAAGAAATTTACATGTGTTCATAAAAGCATTTGTAAATGCTATAATTACATTAAGAAGCTGATCAAGCAGTCACAAAGTTGTATGAAATTAGCAGCCTGCCTATAAAAGTGAACTTTACCTTAAAAGACAAAACATGGTTTTAAAATGTTTTAAATCATTTAAGCCATGTCAAATGTTTGAGAATTTGAGTATCAGTGACATCTCTAAGCAAGGAAAACTAGCAAAGTCATCAGTAATTAGGTTTTTTGTTTGCTTGGTTTTTAAATCTCTGGTGTTTCAAAATTAACCTGTGCATTAATTAAAGAAAATTAAAAGAAAATAACTTAAAATTTACCTCCTTCCCAAGGTTAGAAAGCATGAGTTCTCCCATCTCTTCTAGAGTACCATCATCAGCAGTAGCCAGATGTTGTAGAGAAGGATGCAAAAAAGAAAACAGTAGGCAATTAGGGAAAAGCATATTAGTGGAACTGCATTACATTTGGTAGTGGTTTCTTTACATCCTGCAGTATGAGGATTCCTTCAGATGTCCTTCAAAAACATAATACCATTTGAACTCTAAAATCCCAAAGCCCTTACAGATCTTTTCCTCAAGATCTGTTTGAACTCTGAAAAGCATACCCTACTTCACTTGCTGAAGTGTCACAAAATCCACTGTAGTTGAGAGAGCATTTTCAAAGTTTCCTGTCATCTATTGATGCATGAATAACTTTGAGAACTATAATTTTCTTTTTCCTTTCACTGTCTTGAACATTTTGTTATGCTGACTTTGGACATTAGAAAATAAATAACAAACTGACTGCGATCACAAGCTTATCCCCAGGAACTCCAAACAGCAATCTCTGAATGTGATGTTCCTTAGATCTCTCTTGAAATGGACAGACTTTATTACTAGTACAGATGAGTACATATGCTCTTGTCCTTTTCCTGTGTTACAGTAGGTTAATACCAGATACTTGACCTGATGCACCCTGTTTCATCTCTGACTGTGCTGTCAAAAGAGGCTTTCATAGAGCAGCTGCTCACTAACTCATAGAAGAATTCAAATAATTTCTATTATTGAGGCTTACCTTGATTTCACATGCCATTTATAGCAATGATCCAAAACCTAGTAAACAAAAGGATATAGAACATGAAGAGTAATGATCAACCAGTGAATTGCAATTGCGTGTAATAAAAGTAGTATTTCTTAAAAAACTTTCAAAAAAGCCTTAATGATCTCTGGTTGATATGATTTGCATATGCTACTGTCTAAAGAGTGTAACTTCATGTTAACTTTTGTTGTTGTAGAATCGAATGGAAGAAAGCAAGGCCTTATTTAAAACTATCATTACATATCCCTGGTTTCTGAATTCTTCAGTCATTTTGTTCTTAAATAAAAAAGACCTTCTAGAAGAGAAAATCATGTATTCCCATCTAATTAGTTACTTTCCAGAATACACAGGTAAGCATTTATCCCACACTATCTTCACAAAGCTGAAAGTCATATTTAAATCAGTTAATTTTTCCTCATTAAATTGAACATGGAAAGTGAAATTGTGTAATATATTTGATATCTATGCTTTTCTACTTTATCCTTTAAAATACAAACTGAAGTTAGTCAATTTTACTGGAACTTTGTGGGTTTTTTACTGGAGCATTGTGGACAGATTATTAAGAGATTTCTTACAGCCATTCTGTTACCATTAGAGTGGTATAAATACAGTTGCTATTTATTTATGAGAAGAAGCACCTTTTTCATCTTTGATCTCAAGAGACAAGATACAGGGAGACCTTGGGGAATACAGCTATTAATCAAACTCTTTATATAGTAAAAACCCATAATATAGTTTTACATTCATTATTATAACTTGTTGTCTATCTAGAAGTCTGAAGTTAAAAAGCAGCCTAAGTAACTTTCCTTAAGAAATGTTACTGATACTTAAAGTTGCCAAAAGAATGATGAAAATAATCACAGATGTATTCCATTACTTAATACAGTATTATATTCTGCAAGACATGTATTGCATTGAGTCCTACAATTAACAATGAAAAGTTGTAGTGATTTAATAGCTACAGAGAAAACACACATCCCTCTCTTGACCAAAGAGAATCCTGTTTGTGTGTTTTAGAAAATTTAATTTCTCTCGTACTACATACCACAATAATGTATCAATCTATTAATATATGCTGAGTAATTTCAGTTGCATAGGTTTTTATAAAAAACTACTTTGACCTGTAAGGTTTACGGTTGAAAAAAGCATACTCCCTACATTTTAGAAAGCAGTGTTTTAACAGCCCGTGCTCCACTCATATATGAATGAGAAAATGCCAACATGGGAGTATGCCTTTATGGCGATGTGACATTTAAATATGAAATTAGCCTGTTAAGATACTGTCCCTATGTTTCTTCCTTGACCCATAGTTTTTAACTGTTCAAAACCACTAATTGTGCTTTTGACTAGGACCTAAACAAGATGTCAAAGCTGCCAGAGACTTCATTTTGAAGCTGTATCAGGATCAGAATCCAGACAAGGAGAAAGTAATCTATTCCCACTTCACTTGTGCCACAGACACAGAAAATATTCGTTTCGTCTTTGCTGCTGTCAAGGACACAATCCTGCAATTAAACCTGAGGGAGTTCAACCTGGTTTAAATAAAAAACATGGCTGCAGCCACAAAGTGTGGCTGCACAGCTGCACAGTTTGTGTTGGTTAAAAAAAAGGAAAAAGGTGTCTTTTTAAATACCATTTACAGAAATGGGAGGAGGATTTATATTTACTGAAGTATGGATTAAGAGACCTTTAAAGGAGGAGTTTGAAAACTTATTTTTTAAGTTATACATTTAAAACATTGTATTCAAATTTCCCATATTAGTTTTGTCTGTGAGTTAAAAATTTTTTGACAGCTGTGGGAATTAAACATATTTAGAAGAATGTACATAACTGCATTGCTGTCCAGCTGATGTTTTCTTAAGATCTTTTTTTTTTATTTAGCTTATAAAATTTCCCACAGTGATGCCTTAGAAATGACAAGATAGTGTTATTTTAGGGTGCTAGACATTTTTATATGCTTATTCTGAGCAATGTAGTTGAAAGACTAGGGTAAAGCTATTAGACTTTTTAGAAGCATCTCTTGGTAGCCTTGATAGGCCAAACCTGTTAATGTTCTAGGAATCATTACAAAAAGATTAATTACTGATGACCCTTGCATGTCACTGCCTTTTTGTTCAAGTGCCTTACAATAAATAAAATACCTTTCACAGTTAAGGAAGGACAGATTAAGATCTTGTAGGCAGTCCGTGGAATTTACTCTTTTCTGAAGGGGAAAAGCATTTCTCCAACAGCAAGGCATTTAGCAACTGTTCTCGGCATT